CACAGATCAAGAAAAGACATAGATACATAATTTATACCTATGTGGCTTGAAGCCAAAATAGTTCATCGGAAGGGTGAGGAAGTTGTGTTTACATTCCCTCATGGGCAGTGGCGTATCATTTTATAGGGGCTGATTGCAACTAAAATAACAAGTTTAATAATTATAATTGTAAATTTTATTTTCCGCAGATAAACTAGGGAAAATATGATGTAATAGGTATGTTAAGAAAGCGTGTTTTATTTCTTAAGGTATCTACTGACACAATTTTACTCTCATTTATATACAAAAGGATTGATACATTTCATCATACTCTTAAACTGTTAATTAATATGATTTTCACGAGATTTTAACAAAACAAAGTATTTAAATTCCATTTGGGTATGTCCTAGTTTTAATTTTAATAGTTTATGACACGGTGTAAAATTTGGTATCAACTCTTACATAGAATTTATAAAATTTGTATATAGGAAACTAAAANCCCTAAGAATACCATCAGGGGACCTATAGACAGATATTATAATTAATTCTAGATCTACCACTTTTATCGCTGCCAATTCACATGTTATTTCGGTTGAATGGTTTACAATATAATCTAAGTTTTGATACTTCAAGCAATTTTTTACCATTATCCAAGATCCACCGTGATACTTATTTTTACGACAAAAAGCCGTATTACAATACAGACCGACACAAATTAAGTTTGAGTCTGAGTGTATTTGTAAACGCAAATGCAAACTAATGTGTGTCGGTCTGTATGTACTTTATCGACAGTGACATGCAATATACGAGTTGGTACTTCACATACACATTTAAATACATGGTGAGGCGTGTATAATCTATAAAAATTAAACTACAGCTTCCTGATGGTATTTGTAATAGNTCTGCTATGTGTTTATCCACAATACCCGCTCTATATCTCAAGGAATCAAAATTCACCAGTACATTATCCAGACAATTTTCACCACGTGTATTTTCATTTATGAGATATGTAAAACCAAAGGATTCCATGAAACTCACAAACACTCGTGTGTCCTGTTCGTTTTTATTAAAACGAACATTAAAGTCACCCATGATTAATATTTTTTTATTTACAAGACTCAACTGAGCAAACAGATTATTCAAGATGTGCAAGAATTCCCTAAGAATACCATCAGGGGACCTATAGACAGATATTATAATTAATTCTAGATCTACCACTTTTATCGCTGCCAATTCACATGTTATTTCGGTTGAATGGTTTACAATATAATCTAAGTTTTGATACTTCAAGCAATTTTTTACCATTATCCAAGATCCACCGTGATACTTATTTTTACGACAAAAAGCCGTATTACAATACAGACCGACACAAATTAAGTTTGAGTCTGAGTGTATTTGTAAACGCAAATGCAAACTAATGTGTGTCGGTCTGTATGTACTTTATCGACAGTGACATGCAATATACGAGTTGGTACTTCACATACACATTTAAATACATGGTGAGGCGTGTATAATCTATAAAAATTAAACTACAGCTTCCTGATGGTTTTTGTAATAGAAAAGTCTTATACGAAAAAGTTCTATCTTCGCGTTTTTTTTTTAATTAAAATTCTTTTATTCAACGAAAATGAAGGCCGACCCTGTGTTATTTATTAAGCTTTGGAAATGTTTTTATACGACCTGAGATGCAACCTTATAATTTAAGTCGATATAATCTAATACTAGTAATACTAAAATAAGGTTAGGTTACATTGTAAAAAAAATTGTGCAGTCAACTGCTTTTGTATTTGTATTGAATTCATTATTCACTTAATTATTAAATATTAAGCATCGTCCATCGACCCATCAGTGTTAAAAAGTGAAAGATTCCAGATAAAAGTTTTTATTTTGCAATTCCAGGATAGTGACACTGTAATTTTTATAAAGTAAAGAAGTAAAAAATAAGAATAGCGTGCCGATTACATTAAAAACGATATTCTAATTTATTACTTTGCTTAATTTTTTAGTTTGTGCACAAACTAGTAACCAAAAAACAATGCATTTACTATTTCCGAACCTGTCGATATGGTGTTAGTGTATGGTGCAGCCGAAGAAAATGTATTCGCGGCGACTAGGTTGTACCAGTAGCGATGGCCACAATGTCACCCCCCCATGTGCAAATACAATCCTACAGTGCGTTCAGCGGCTGCGAGATACGGGAAGTGTTATTCCTCGATGAGAAGGACGTGGCAGCAAGTGAACCTTAATGTTGAAGATGCAGTGTTGAAAAATCTTGACGATACCCCACAATTAGTACTCGATGACTCGCACAGTAAGTAAGAACCTCATCTCGTACCGTACATCGCATCTTAAGGCGCCAGCTGTTACACCCCTATCATCTGCAACCAGTTCAACAGATTTTACCCCCGGATTGTGATCAACGTTTTTGTAGATGGTTTTTACAGCAATATGCCAATCAAGCAGACTTTCCTACTTATGTTTGTGTAACAGATGAGGCGACATTTACCCATGATGAAGTAAATTTCCATAATATGCACATATGGGCGGATGAAAATCCACACGCGATTAGGGAAACTCATTTTCAACATCGGTTCTCGGTAAATGTTTGGGCTGGCATAATAGGCGATGTACTTGTGGGTTCCTATTTCTTTGAAATGGACCAACATATGCTGATTTTTTGGAGAACCGATTGCTTGGACGATGTGGCATTACGAGCACTCATGTTTTATCTTCAAGATGGGGCTCATCCACACAGTACTCGAGAAGTAACAACACTTTTGAATGAAATGTTTCCTCAACGATGAATTGGACGCTTTGGTCCTGTGCCGTGGCCACCTCGGTCACCCGATCTAACTCCAATAGACTTTTATCTTTGGCGTCACTTGAAGTCATTGGTTTACAATACTCGAATTTGGGAAAATATTCGCAAAAATTAGGTGCGTCGGTGCCATGCCTGTATCCGCGCTAATGGGGATCATTTTCAACATTTTATCTAGAAATGGTAAGTTTAATTTCATTTTGTTCCATATTTTAATGGAGTTTGTTTAGTGCACGCAGTTGGCAACTACAGATGCTTACGGATGTGATTTTGTTTGCGAACTCTTGCAGCAACAACAATGCATTTAAGATAGTAATTACTATTAATTATTATAATAAGAAAATATAATTTTATTTTTAAATATCTATTTTTCTTAGTTTGTACTTTTGCATTGAAGAATTCCTCAAAAATTGAGAAGTATCTTCTATCTTTCAACGACGATTTGTTTACGCGACTGGTCTACAGCACGTAACTCATGTAACATACGGACAGGACCGTTCCAGAGAAAATATTTTGATCCATAAATGAACTTTAATTCGCAAAAAAAAACCGCAAAAATAGAACTTTTTCGTATAAGACTTTTCTATTACAAATATCGTTAGGAAGCTGTAGTTTAATTTTTATAGATTGTACACGCCATACCCTGTATAACGAAAGTTCATTCTGAAAAAAAGATTGCAGCTTATATTTAAAAGCACTGATTCTTTTCTGCAGGAATGTCTCAGGTCACTGCCAGGCTCAACTCAAAATACGCCGATCCCAGCGGCAAAGATCCAGACATCCAGCTATTCTTCGGGGGCTATACCCAAAGGTGTAGTCAAAACTCATCAGCGGACGCTCCTCAAGATCCCTCAGATCCAGATGCCACGAGAACTTTGTCGATTTCTCCCGTAAATCTGCACCCCGAGAGTAGGGGATACGTCTCCCTAAGATCCAGCGATCCTTTCGAGGCTCCAATAATGGTCGCTAATTATTTGACGGCGCCAGGTGACATCGATGTCCTAGTCGAGGGTATCAGGATCATCCAGAATCTTACAAGTAGCGATACTTTGGTAACCAAGTACGGTATACGGCTTCAAGAGACAACTTACGGAGATTGTGCTGAGTTGAACGAGTAAGTAAAGATATAGATACAATGTGTCCACGGATGAAGTTAGAAAGAGGGAAAACAATTTTGTTTCTCATTTTAAGAAAAAAGTTGCTCAAAAGTAGTAAAATATTCAGGGTGTCTCACGTTGACGGCCCATCAGAATTATTTCAGAGACTACTATTCCTAAAATTAACCGTTTTCGAGATATTTAATTTTTTTAGACAAACAGTGACTAGCTTCAAACCATGTGGATTTTATAGTAAGAAAGATAAAGCAACAATATTTATAGGGGGGATAGCTAGACCCCTAAGCTTTCCATCCATACTTTCAAAGTGGCTTAATTGCAAACAGGGTGCTAGAAATTTAATGCCGAGTTTAGTTAACTTCAAACCTTCATAAGTTGGTTTTTTAAATGGAACACCCTGTATGTTTTTCTATATTCTGATACACAATTTTATTCTCTTTCGAACGATATCAGGGTTCCCTATACCTATCTCTTCTAGTTTTTAAGTTATCTACTATTTTTTGTGTAGCAAAACTTCAAAACAAACAACTAAACTGTCAATTTGTTGTTAGTCTCTTGCAGTGAAGGCTTGTTACAAGTGGTAACTAAATTTTAAGTTACTGCTTTTTCTGCAAGTGCTATTCGCACTGGTAAGTTCTAAGTTTAGTTGTTGGTAAATTCTAGTGCAGTTTATATATTTGTAAACCTGACGAGATGAACGTGAGGCAGCAGTTTGTAGAAGATTTTAATGGCATACTACGCGATATCCTAAATATTATATTAGAAGAAATAAATGAAGAAATATATGAAGAGAAAAATAGACCTAAACGACTTTGGGGAGCGAAAGTGGATCAGCAGGAGGGAAAAGTTCGGTGCAAGTGGTCAACTTGCACGAAAAAATAGAATAAATTCTATTCCAGTGTACTAAATTTTTACTTGCTCCATAACTTGTTACTTACCACATATGCGCTGTTCAAATAGATTCAAGTGACTTAAAATTTAGTTAAAATTTAATTGACTGTTCCCGTGTAAACAAGCCATGACAGTTTAATTTAGAGTTTATAAGAAATGGAAAACAATACATATTCAAATGCTGATATTTTAAATTTATTATTCATTCACGGACGTTGCAATGGGATTATAAGCAGAACATGTACAGTTTTTAATGAGACATATCCGAATTTTCCATCAATGAGCAGAAAAAAGTTAAGAAGAATTTTAGCAAATCAACTAGAGTATGATCGAATTTGTGCAGAAAGAATTTTACCAAGACCAATAACTTCAAATGAAGATAATGTAATAAATGCTAGCTTATTTTAATCCAGAATCCTCAACTCGTGCTGCAGAGTATGATTTAGGCATTTCACGAGCGTCCATTCACAGCATGCTAAGAACTAATGATATGCATCCATTCAAATTTAAGCTACTTTCTGCTCTTCATCCGGGTGACGCCGTGCAACGTGTACAATTTTGTGAAATGATGTTAGTGCGATACCAAGAAGATCCACAATTTGTGCAAGATATTATATGGACAGACGAGTCAAAATTTACGAGAGAAAGTATTTTTAATAGACATACCTAATACTCATTTCTGGTCATCTGAAAATCCTCATGTTATCCGGGAAGGAAACTTTCAAAATAAATTTAGCGTAAATGTTTTTTGTCTAATTAAAGACAACCAAATTTCTGACCATATCTACGAAGAAAATTTAAATGCCGACAGATATCTCAATATTTTGCAAACGGTTGTGGCAGATTTTCTAGATGATATACCTTTAGACCAACTAAGGAAGTGTTGGTATCAATTAGACGGGGCTCCACCTCACTGTCACAATCAAATCGATCAACAGCTGACTGAAATGTTTGAAGATAGATGGATGAGACGCCTAGGACCGTGGAATTGGCCAGTGAGGTCTCCCGACCTCACTCCATTAGATTTTTATGTTTGGGGAGTAATAAAGCAAAAAGTTTATTCTACACCCGTTGCTTCAAAAGAGGATTTGATTGCTCGAATACGAAGAGCGTTCCATGAATTGCCTGCAGCTGAAATAGCAAAAGCGGTGACTGATGGTGTTATCTCTAGAATCCACAAGTGCTTAGCTGTTAATGGGGGTCATATTGAACACTTATGACTTTTTTAAGTCATTTTTTTTATCTTAGTGCATTATTATTATCAACATACATAATTAAAATTGTGTATTACTATGTATGAAGTTGATTTTTTAGAATTCTTCTTAACTTTATTCTGCTCATTGGTGGAAAATTGGGATATGTCTCATTAAAAACTGTGAATGTTCTGCTTAGAATCCCATTGCAATAAATGGTGACAGTTTTGTTGTTTGCTTTGAAGATTTGCTAAAAATTCCACAGCTATCCTCGCAAGAAATTACATGATTTTAGGTGATAGTGAACCCTGATACCGTTCGAAAGAGAATAAAATTGTGTATCAAAATATAGAAAAACATACAGGGTGTTCCATTTTAAAAAACCTACTTATGAAGATTTGAAGTTAACTAAACTCGGTATTAAATTTCTAGCACCCTGTATGCAATTAAGCCACTTTGAAAGTATGGATGGGAAGCTTAGGGGTCTAGCTATCCCCCCTATAAATATTGTTGCTTTATCTTTCTTACTATAAAATACACATGGATTGAAGTTAGTCACTGTTTCTCTCCATTTTTTTGGAAAAAATTAAATATCTCGAAAACGGTTAATTTTAGGAATAGGGAAACTTCATAAAAGTCCACCTAAAATAACACGTAGAATCCAAAATTGTAATAATATATAGGGTTTTCCATTTAAAATAAGCAAGTTGATGACGACTTCCGCTATAACCGGAAGTGGTACGTGGACGCCATTTTAGTGGAGAAGGGCATGCCCGAAAACCCGGCATCCCAAATTTTCAAAATTCAAATCGAAGTAGTCTCGGAAATAATTCTAATGGGCCGTCACCGTGAGGCACCTGTATATAGAAATGTTCGAGCTATTTTGGAATTCCATAAAATGAAAAAACAAAAAGTTTTTTCTCTTTTCAACTTCATGCACGGTTACACTCAATATTGAACAAAATTTGGAACTGATGTTGGGGAAAGTCTTTATATAAATTTATCGCTTTTCTTATTCTTATTAAATTGAGAATCAAATGACAAATTTCGAAAATTTAGTAAGTAGGCACCACTTCCCAAAGTTACACTCTTAGTGACGAAATGAAATTTCAAAAACTGCCCCCTAATGAGACAGTTATCTGTTTTCAATTCCTTTATCTCACTGAATTTTTTTTGTATTTTTTTAGTTACGACTCTGACGATTTCTGGAAATGCGCCCTACGTTATTCCACAGGCCCCGAGAACCACCAGGCCAGTTCTTGTAGGATGGGACCTTCCTCTGACGAGTACGCCGTGGTAGACAATCAGCTGCGCGTTTACGGTATAGACGGTTTGAGGATCGCTGATGCTTCAGTCATGCCCAAAGTGGTATCGGGAAATACACACGCTACCGTTGTGATGATCGCCGAGAGAACTGTTGATTTTATAAAAAGTACTTGGTTGTAAAACACGCATTTGTGATAGTACTAGAAACAGTTTTCAATTCAATAATATATTTTATAGCTGAACCGATTCTAAGAAGCTGGCATTAATAAATTCTTTTAACAACACGTTGTCTCTGTAAATGGATCAACCCCGCTAGGACTTAAAAATGTAGCTAAAATGTACAGGGTGTCCCAAAGATGATTATTACTTCAAAAAATTTTCGATATGCTTGCCTCCTACTTCTAAGCATTTATCCAATCTTTTCCTAACTTTCCTTGTAGCTTTAAACAATGTATCTCTTGAGAGATTCTCACAAACATGTCGAATCTTTTGCTTTGAATGCTGCAAACTTATCGTGGGTGTCTTATATACTTGATTTTTTAATGTTCCCCATAAAAAATAGTCTCGAGACTTTGAAGCCCATTCTACAGGCCCATTAATTCCAATCCGCTTAGTTCCGAAAATATTTTTTAAATAGTCTGTAACTCTTTTAGATTTATGCGAAGGAGTACCATTGTATTGCTACCACATATTCAACCTGAGCTGCAGCAGCACATATTCAAACAATGCTGGAAGCTATTAGCGTTCAATATATTTATGTGCCGTTTAAAAAACTNCTCACTGAATTTTTGTTGTATTTTTTTAGTTACGACTCTGACGATTTCTGGAAATGCGCCCTACGTTATTCCACAGGCCCCGAGAACCACCAGGCCAGTTCTTGTAGAATGGGACCTTCCTCTGACGAGTACGCCGTGGTAGACAATCAGCTGCGCGTTTACGGTATAGACGGTTTGAGGATCGCTGATGCTTCAGTCATGCCCAAAGTGGTATCGGGAAATACACACGCTACCGTTGTGATGATCGCCGAGAGAACTGTTGATTTTATAAAAAGTACTTGGTTGTAAAACACGCATTTGTGATAGTACTAGAAACAGTTTTCAATTCAATAATATATTTTATAGCTGAACCGATTCTAAGAAGCTGACATTAATAAATTTTTTTAACAACACGTCTCTGTAAATGGATCAACCCCGCTAGGACTTAAAAATGTAGCTAAAATGTACAGGGTGTCCCAAAGATGATTATTACTTCAAAAAATTTTCGATATGCTTGCCTCCTACTTCTAAGCATTTATCCAATCTTTTCCTAACTTTCCTTGTAGCTTTAAACAATGTATCTCTTGAGAGATTCTCACAAACATGTCGAATCTTTTGCTTTGAATGCTGCAAACTTATCGTGGGTGTCTTATATACTTGATTTTTTAATGTTCCCCATAAAAAATAGTCTCGAGACTTTGAAGCCCATTCTACAGGCCCATTAATTCCAATCCGCTTAGTTCCGAAAATATTTTTTAAATAGTCTGTAACTCTTTTAGATTTATGCGAAGGAGTACCATTGTATTGCTACCACATATTCAACCTGAGCTGCAGCAGCACATGTTCAAACAATGCTGGAAGCTATTAGCGTTCAATATATTTATGTGCCGTTTAAAAAACTTGTATAATTAGGTATGTATTTAACCAAATTAGCAATGGCATACGTGGCGCTTTCATTTGCAATGCGCTTGGTAATTCACGCGGTTGTCTTATCAGATAAAATCAATTTTGATCCAACCAATTCCTATCCCGTTTGACAAACTTCCATAATTAGATCAGTATTTAACAAAAATAACGATGGTACACGTGGCACTATCGTTGGAACATAACAAAAAAATTAGCACTCTTTTTTCGCGTATGCCACCAGGCAGATCCCTTACAAACTGTATGCCAATGATTTTCATAATGAATCTCATCGTAATGGATGATATATTAAAAGAGCTTACATGTAACTATCATTGTCATACATGTGCAATTAATACACAGCCATAGGTACAGGTGTGAAATTAATAAGACCTTCGGAAACCGTATGCCCTTTGGAAATTGTGCACTTTATGCCAAAAACCATTGAATTTCGAATAGGCATACGTGTAACTATCATTTACAAATGCAATATTTATTTACACTTTTAAGGGCGTCACCCGATCCTTCGGTTTCACTCTGCTCGTATGCCGACCGTTTTCCGATTAATTGTTGTTGCTAAAATACCGTTTAGTATGCTCGGCATACATGTAAATTTTTTTGCAATTAACAATTACCTTTAACGGTGCATGTTCCACGGTTACCGGCTAATTGCACTTGTTCATTGGTCAGCATGCGCATAACTAACGATACTTTGAAGGGCATACGTGCAGAAATCATTCGGTTTTTTTTGCAGCGGGCTGACGGCCTGAAAGAATCTTAAACAATTCTTAGTTTACCTTTTTTAGTGCAATATTCAGTTACATTAAGATAATGGATAATACAATAAACTTGCCATATTTTTAAATTGTTTCAAAATGGATGTCGTGAATATTTAATGAATTTATTGATTACCTATCCATTAGAGTTTTAACAATTAGAGTAGCAGCAACTGTCCCCGTGGTTCTATTGCAGCAAATATGGCCATAGAACACCGCCACGAAAATGAAATTAACCAATATCTACTATTTAAACTGTCAAATATTGCTGGTGTAATACCATGGTACGATTTTAAAAAACAAAAATTGTCCTATGAAAGTCTGTACAAGTTATATGGAATACTATTGGCAGTTTTTGTGTTGGTGACGACACTTATTTGCTTTTACAATATTCGCCAAGATGTTGCTTTTAATTCTCCACTTTTGAATGGGTTAAAAGTTCTGGGAGAGGCAACATCTTTGCTCTTATTTTTGCTAATTGTCTCAGGTTCTTCATTTTGGAATATGAAGTCCTGGGAGCAGTTCATTAATCTCTTACCTCACACAGATTGTCGGCTTAAATGTAACAGAAAATATTTTCTAAATATCCCATTTGTAGCTGCTATTGCAGGATGTATTCACCCATTTATTGTTTATGGATTTGCGTTAGAAGCTGGGGAGATCATTTTAGCTCAGCACATGTTGGTAATTCATTTTACAAGGCATATAATGATCTGTCTTATGTACCACGTCATCAGTTTACTCAGGAATATGTATGATACTGTTAATAAATCCCTTGTGAGGATTAAACTTTGTGCTGTAATTAACTCAAGCACAATTGAAGATTTGCAAGAACTCCAAACAATCTATGTGGAAGCTGACAAAATTGTATGCACTTTTAATATAGTTTTTGGCTGGCCCTTATTACTACTTTTTACCCAAACTGTTGCAAGCATGCTATTGATTTTATCCACGTTTACAGAAAATGGTTTAAATATTCGTTTAAAGGAAATTTTAACTGAAAAAATTATATTGATGACTTTGTTCCATACCGTTGCTATGGTGGTAAGTACCTGATCAATAATTTGATAAGAATCAGCACATATGTCCCATCTTTATAAATATAAAGTGAATTTTGTATTACACTAAAAAACGTTTGAAGTTAGATTCGACATGAAATTTTGATGATTTTCTAAGAAACTTTTATACAGTTTTTAATAACTCCTTCAACTGCCAGCAAGAAAGAATCTATGTAAATAGCAAAAAATGTGGTGATGATGAGAAACGTAACTAGGTCTATTTTACTTTTATTTTATTTCTCACTTATAATTTTTATCTGTAATTTAATAATAAAGAAAAATGTGGCTTCAAATATTTATTATTTCATTATATAAAAATAGTTTTGTTATTTTTTTTAGTGTGGTCCTGTAGTGATAACTTTCAGCTGCGATGCAGTAGTCAACAAAGCGAATATGCTCTTGAAGATGTGCAGCAAACTATGTGAGGATTTGCCGTTGTTGGTCAGAGAAAAAGAAGAACTGGCAAGATTACACGACATAATCCAAAGCAAAAAGCCCAAGTTTTCAGTATTAAGCTTGTTCGAAATAAGGCGATCTACTTTACTATCACTTATTAGTGTCACAACGACATACATGATTGTCATACTACAATATAACTATTTGTAGACATACTTATAGACAAAAAATATTATTTATCTTAAATAATTATTATCTACTGTTTTACTAACACTAATAATTAATGAAAATTCCGATGCAATTAGATAATGTTTTTATGCACCTATTTTGAAATGATTTCGCTCTAGTAAATGGGCATAATTTATAAAATAATGTCCTTTTACTATAAATGTAAATGTTAATGTTAACAAGTAAATAAGTAAATAAATTTGTTCCACTAGTGGATAAAGTATCACTTTAGACGGTTCATATATGTGGATAAAAGTCTGAAAAGTGATTGTGGATAAAATAGTTTTGTGTTCAGTTATTCTCTTCCACTATTTATGGTATGGTATTTATGGATAGGTTCGGTATGATAAAAATTTGAATATTGGAAGAAACAATTTTTGATATTGGTCTTCTTGAATTATTTTAAAGTTGTGCTTATATTATTTTAAATGTAAGGCTGGTTATGAGGACATATTTCATACATAATGATATGTTTAATATGCAATATCTTCAATGTAAGCGGAAATCGTTACAAGGTAAGTCACTGTAATCATAATTACGGGTGTTATTGTCAAAAAATGACAAACCGTTGAAACGGAAAAAAATTATGTACATATACAGGGTCAGAATAGTAGAACGAAAGTAAACCATCAGAAAAAGAGACTATATCTCCATACAAACGAGTAGATGGTTATACGTAGACAGATGGAAACTCTTTGAAGACCTTTAATAACCTCCAGATCAACTCAGTGACCCCGAATACACTTTTTAATTTTTTTACACAATTTTTTCTAAATTTAACCATCAAATCACCTTGAACCTGACGTGATGGAGCTTAAATAACCTTGGATTCGCCTTCAGTGACCTCAAAAACATTCAAACGAATTTTTTCAGATTTTTCAGACTGATTTTAATTTTTCTATCCAAAATACTTCATGAATGACCTTGAAATTACCTTGAATGACCTCTAGGGTGTATCGTAGGGGTAAACAAACCTCGGATTCGGGTTCAGTGACCTCTAAAACATAAGCATAAATTTTTTCAGATTTTTTGGAGGTCATTTCTTCATTTCACCTTCAAATCACCTTGAACCTGATGTGATGGAGCTTAACCGACCTCGGATTCGTGATCAGCGACCCAAAAAAACCATATCTACCATAGTCACTTCTGACGATTGTCCCTAGATCAAATGTTGACTTGTGAATTAAAAGTTGATGAACCGAAGCATAGGATGGAAAAGACAAATGGTGCTGGAAATAATTGGATTTTGTTTTCTTCAATGTCCGGAAGGTTTCCCAAAAAAAACAAAAAAAAAACTTTTGCATTAGTTTATTATAAGATTTTTTGTCTTGAATGTGATTCAAAGTCGTCTTAAGCAATTCCTCTTTGCGGCAAACTTCAGAGATCCCAATAATTGTAACAATCTGAAAAAATGAATCTTAAATCATTATTGTTAAGATTAGGCAGAGGAATAATTGTAAGCTACTCGACTACGTTTAAGGTAGTGCCATCAGTAATTTTAGATGTAGTCGCAAGTTCTGCCTATAAAAATAAGAAGGTACTCTTCAGAAAATGTCTATCAACTGCCAAATTTCGAACTGTTGGTTGTTATTAACTTTTAATTAAATATACGCCTATATTTTACTTATGTTTATCTACTGTAGATTACAAAATACGAAATTAACAGCTTTTAGTGTATTGTTTAATTATCTAACAGGTTGTTCATGTAAACATCTTCGTACAAACCTCTTTCATAAAATTAATATACATTTAGGAAATTAGAAGTTTCAACAAATTAATTTTGCTCTTGCCTCCTTGTCCCCTTATAATCAATATTGATATAAATTAGTTTTATTTATAGTCTCGTTTCTACCCACAAATGTTGAGAAACATGCAGCAGCAAGAGCATGTCAATTCAAACAAAACAAACATGTCTTTGGAGAAGCGTGAAAGAAATTACTATTTCACGGATCCAATAATTAAACTTGCAAACATTTTTGGCGTGGCTCCATATTACGATTTTAAGAAACGAAGGTTAACTCATAAAGGTATTTTCAAGTTGCATGGATTTTGTTTAACAGTGTACGTGTTAACAGTGTTTATAATACCCTTTTATTTGTTGCTACGCGAGAACATCGCAATGACTCCACATCTAACAGCTTTACAAATTTTTCTAATAGCAATTAGTGTACTTTTCTTTCTGGCTATAGTCTTGGGATGTTCATTCTGCGAAACAAAGTCATGGGAAAAATTGCTTAACCTATTCTCTCATTCGGAATACCACGTTCAATGTAATCGAGGATATTTTCTGAATATCCCATTCCCGTTCTTGATTGGAGGTCTCCCTGGAATATGTACATTTATATTTACTCTACTTTGTATGAGGGGCAAAGCTGGATTACCAATAACGGTATATTACATAGCCAGAAACATATGGATGTGCTTAATATACAATATTGTTACTTTGGTCAGGAATCGATATAAAACCATCAATAATACCCTTATTGATATAAGCCGTTGCACCGTAATCAAAACTAGTACCATTACAAAGTTGCAAAAGTGCCAAAGAATGTATCTGGAGACCGATAAGATTGTAGAAATGTTTAATAAGGTCTTTGGTTGGCCTTTATTGCTACTTCTTGCGGAATCTATGCAAAATATATTACTTCCTCTGGCATTCCTTACTGAACATGGTTTGAAACTTCCTGCGGAAATGGTTTTATCGAATAAAGTGTTTATTTTGAGCATACTGTTTATGTTAACGATAATGGTAAGTAATTTATCAATAATTCATCGAAGAATAAGATCTTACCAATCGGTATCGATGAGCTTTGCTTATACTGCATTGCCACTAAAGACGTTCATTTTGCGAATTGTTTGATTAAAAAAGTAAGTTTATTTCTTCAGTTAGTTGTGTTTTTATAATATCATTTCTCTAATGTTTCTAGTAATTGTGTGCAAAGATTTTTGCTGTGCTGCTTCCTTTATGAACCTATTGAGAAACCTAATATTACTTTATTTTCTATCTAAAAACGAAAGAAAGATAATGTTTTACTAATATGTTGACAGCATTTCTCCATACTCTTCCACAACCAACATAAACGTAAACTAATTTCACATATGGACCCACTTCTAGCGATAATTTTAATCGTATTACAACAGTGGACACGTCAGTGTAAACAATTGAAATGTCTCTGAGGCTCGTTGAAAGTAGTTACAGTTTCATGGATCGTATAATCAAACTAGCAAAAGTTTTTGGTGTAACTCCATACTATAATTTTAACAAACGAAAATTAACTAATGAAAGTCTGTTCAAGCTACATGGATTGTTATTAGCTGTTTAGATGCTGATAGCAACAATATTGTCCTTTTTCTTCCTACGCCAAGAAAATACTGTTATGACACCACATTTAGAAGTGTTGCAATTTGTCGTAACGGTAATTGATGTGCTTCATATTCTGGCGATAATCTTGGGATTCATTTTGGAACAATAGGTCGTGGGAAAGAATTCTTAACCTTTTATTTATTTATTTATTTATTTATTTATTTATTTAAAACAGAACACCTTAACTAAATTTTAAAAGAAAAAGACAAATTAACATTAAATATAAAAATATAAATACTACATAAAATACAGCAATCAAAATATAAATATAAAATCCAGACAAAGAACTTAAGTATAAACAATAACAGACAAATAAAACAAATAAGCTAACTAACATATACAAGATAATGATTACAATTGCTAGACAAACGATTTTATTATGTCATTCATACATAGAATGAAAAAATATATCAAATCTGTCTTCGTACATCTTGTAATTAGAAATCATTTGATATAGAGAGATGCTATTAGTAGTAGTACGAGGTGTGGATAATTGTAAAACAGAGTGAAATCTAGAATTAAGTCTAGGAACATGATATAAAATCCTTCAGACTAACGAGTCTGCATTGAAAGTCTTATTTATTATTTTAAAAAGGAATATAATTGAAAACATAATTCGCCTACGACAGAGACTATTTAAATTAAAACAAGAAAGCAATAAATCTTGAGCTGTCCATAACTAATAAAATGAATAGGCTTTAAAAATCTCCGTTATACTTTCTCTTATTGAATATTATAAATATTATAAATGGGACTGCAAACTACCGATGCATATTCAAGTTTGCAACGCACAAATGCTGCATACAATGTATTTAGAACCTTTAAGTTCTGAAAGTCCTTAGAATTACGCAAAATAAAGCCTAAATTCTTTTAAGCAGATTTGGTTACTAAACTAATGTGCTCGCCAAACGATAATCTAGTATCGAATGTAACACCAAGGTCAGTAAATGGCGTAACTGTATTTTAAAAAGTTTCACCCATTTTAGATTCAGAGGTTGATTATTATTACATGAACACCAATTGTGTAATCTGTCAATATCATCTTATAATACAGTACAAAGTAGAGGATTTAACTTCCAAGAACAACTTCAGGTAGTTCGCATAGCATTAATAAAAATAATAAATAACAGTAGTCCCAGGACTGACCCTTGCGGAACTCCTGAAGATTAATGGAATTTACTTGATTGAAAGCCTCGATACTGCACAAATTGGTACCTTTTACTAGAGCAGGGGATATACCATATGACTCCAATTTCAATGTTAATAAATTATGATCAAACCGATCGAAAGCTTTGGAAAAATCGGTATACACAACATCAACCTGACTTCCTGCATCCAAAGCTTCAGCAATAAATTGGATTTTCTCAACTAGATTTGAGGTAGTTGAACGACCACTCATAAATCCATGTCGGTACGGAGATATTGTTTTTTCAATATGAAAATACAGTCGATTGTGTAAAATTATTTCTAGGATTTTTGAGTAGTTACTTATAATAGTTATGTTGTTCTTAGTACCTTTTTTATAAATGGGGCATATTCGCGACTCTTTCCATACTTGTATTTCGAATAATATATTGGATATATCCGAAGATATATTTTGCACGTTCGTTTTCGCTGTTTATTGGAAGTTTCCTGGATTATTTTTTTTCACAATTACGTTTTACTTTATGGGAGGAATTACTAGTTTGCACATGTCTATATTCAGCTTTACCAGGCACATAACGATAGGTAGGGTTAGCACTATTACGAGAAGTTGAACGAATCTATATAGAAACGAATAAGATTGTGGGCATTTTTGGCGTAGTTTTGATAGGCCCATTTTACTTTTTCTTTCTGAATATATGCAGTGTGTTATTTTGCCTGTCTATATTAATTGAACGAGGTATAAAGCTTCATGCGGGAAGGTTTACGTCCAAAGAGCTGTTTATTTTGAACATACTGTTCGCGTTTATGACAGTGGTAAGTAATTTAATGCCCAACAATTCATTGATCACAACAGTTCATTAATGAAGAGTATTTAGGTACTCGCTTCTTCCATGTATTGAAATTACTTATATTTTTGTAATTATTACAAACTAAATGCTGCTGAACTAATAATATTTTACGAAAAACTACTTTATATTACCCAGAATGTTTAAAAAATGACAGAGAAGTTCAAATCCAACAAAAATTGGTTTGCTACGCTGTCTTTTTTAAAGCTCCTACTATACTGTAAACGGAAGTATTTAAATGTGATTTATTATAATCTTGTCCTTTTACTTTACAGACCGGCCCCACGGTGATTGCTTTTTCCTGTGACGGAGCGGTCCAAGACGCAAAAAAGTTATTAAAAAAATGCTACGTGCTATACGACAACTTACCACTCCTAGCTAGAGAAAAAGAAGAACTACAAAGGTTACAGAGCTTGCTGCGAAAGACACCCACGTTCACAGCAGCCAACTTTTTCGAAATAAAACGATCTACTTTACTTTCTCTCATTAACACCACCACAACTTATATGATCGTGGTGCTACAATTTAACTTTTTGTAAATCTATGTCCTATTTGCTCGTATAGACACCAGCTTGTCTCAGTACAGGATTATTTGAAGAAAAAATATTTTAATTCGAAAACTAGTCACATTAGTTTTCTTTTTAAATCAAATATCTACACGCACATACAATTTATTATTACAGAATCATTGTTGGGTTTAGGAATGTGGAATATTCTCTTCCAATTTAACACTTGGTCTTTGCCTTTGCTTAAATAGAGCCCAACAGCTTACATTTAGATACCTAATACCAACTAAAAACTCAAACCAGAACAAAAATGATTATTAAAATGTCAAAAAACAACATCCGTTAGAAGTGTCAGCAAACATTGATTCAAGAACAAAAGAACAAGCGTCTGAAATCTCATCAAGAAGAGGAGAACTCGGTAAATGACATAAGTGCTCAGTATAGTAACTTTACCGAGATGTTACAGTCAGCAGAAGTTCTTGACGTTTTGACGCTTATATTTTTCCATGTCTATAAGCCTTTTAAAGATGAATAACAATAAAAGTGACGAAGTATTCAGTTCTATAAAGAAGCGGATGGATTTTGGCCAGTGAGATCCAGGAAAAGGTACGAAAAGTATATAAAAAGGTAATAGTAGTAAATGAAAATGCTCTCTTAGTTTACTTAGCTAAAAGAATGAAGTTCATATGCAGTCTGTATTCAAAACAATGTTAATATCCAAGAAGAACATTGAGATTAGCAAATTTCCGAAATAATAATATATTGTTATGATTAGTATGCTTGTGTGGGTTGTTTATAATAATTAATATACTATGATCTTGCTGTGTATATGTGTATGCTGCTGTGTTGGTATGCTTTGGTTTAATTATTGTCAATTCTACCCTGGCTAGCTTTAGACTCTTCCCAGTAGTGAGATCTAGTGAGGTTAAACTTTATAGAAACCCAAACAATACACCACACTAAACAAAATATATTATTCACTTCTATCAATACTTTTATTTCATCTCAATATTTTCTAAAGAAAAAATCTGTGGGATATAATGCAAAGAAGTCTAGAGTTTTTAGTAGACGATAAGTAAATAAGTCTTTAACATAATCCTCGAATCATGATTACCTTGCTAGAAACAGCTATACTTTCAGAAACAAACGTAATATTATTGACAACACAAATCTTATTATTTCTAAATTTACTAGGACATCAAGATATTTTTTATATAAGTTTATGACTAATAAATGTTACGTTGTAGTTCTCTTATCATCAAATTTTTGGGGGCAGCAGAATAGCTGTTTGTGTATTAAGAGCGGTTTGAGCGAGAAGCTTGGCTACTTCGCGCTCGAATTACCCATAGGATTTTTTCTACATGTGTTTTTGTTAAAATGGTTACTGCAAAATAAAAATAATGAAATTTCTTTAGTACGTATTAATTATTTATTTAGATACTATCTTATCTCTATCTTACTTCTATGTGTAACAAAATATAAAATTCTTCTAACACTTCCTCCATCTTTAGTGGTGATAAGCAAGGCGAAGAAATAAACAGTATTAAATGTCTGTGTTTGATGACATATATGTAATACTTTGAAACGTTTTAATTCAGTCTTCTTCTGGGAAAATAATTAGATTTGGTGGACATTTCTAGTAGACTCTTTGAACCTTCTTAAACAAACCATTCGTTGACATGTCTTGGTAGCAGTTTTCGATGAGGGCAGTTAAGTATATTAAATTGAAATGGCGTATTGGAACATGACACAATTCTTTACAAGTAGGTATCACATAAATTATACGTTTCAAAACTTTCCATTATCTAATTGTAAGTAAAAAAAAGCGCTCGCGACTCGGAAAAGTGTAACTTTGTGCTTTCTTTTGGAAGCGCAAAGTACTCAATTGTAGAAAAAAAATATTGTACACGTCATACAGCAAGTGCACTTGCAATTGTACTTATAAATTAATTAATTAATAACTATTAGTTATTTAATAATTCTGGAATTGTGTCAATACGTAACCTTTACATCGATTTTTATATAAATAAAGACGCATCAGCAATTTAAGTGATGCAAGATAACGAATGTTAAACAATTTATAAAGGATAATTCAGTATCTTATTAACTTAAAAGCTTAAATAGAATGAACTTGTACCTCTATAAATTAGCTAATGGAACGTAATAGAAATACACATATAGAATTGCAGTGAACATCAGTGAGATGATCTAACCACCATTGCTGATTCGTGGTTTATGTAGTCAAAGATATTAGCTGTTGTATAAATTAATTGAGTAATCTCTGTCTACGTACCATGTCTTGCGGAGGAAAATGTATTTCCACAGATCCATTATTTAAACTAGCAAATATTATTGGTTTAACTCCTTATTACGACTTTAACCAACAAAAATTGACACACGTGTTTGGATTCAAGTTATACGGATTACTTTTATCAGTTTTGCAGACGACGTTAGTATTACTTCACTTTTATCGTATTGATGAAGTAGTAGTGTCCTTATCCTCCATTATGAACGCTCTGCAATATTTTATGGTATCAATATCTTCGGTTTTGTTTTTGTCCACTGTTTTGGGATTCTCATTTTGGAATATGAAGTCTTGGGAACGCTTGTTTAATTTGTTGTCTGACTCAAGATGCCGTGGTGAATGTAACAGAAACCTATTTATGAAATTCTCCTTTATGATACTTATTTTAGGAATATTACCAGGATTGATTTTTTTTAGCGTTCGTTATAATGATACAGGATTATCTTTCGCTGGGCACATTATAATTTTTCAAACTTCTAAACAAGTGATGATAAGTATAATATGTGACATCCTTCGTATACTCCGGAATAAGTATATTGCTCTCAATAAGACACTCATTGAAATTAAAGTTTGCGTTGTTATCAAGAGTATTACAATTAGAAAACTCCAAGAGGTTGGAAAGATGTACGTAGAAGCTGACAAACTTGTGGATACTTTCAACGAAGTCTTTGGTTGGCCTTTACTACTACTCCTGTGCCACTCTGTGGTTATTCTAGTATATTTTTTGGGATTCTTTACAGATAGAGACCTAAAACTTTCTACAGATGCTGATTTCTTAGATTTGGTTGCCTCTATGATAGTGGTCTACACGGTTATAACACTGGTAAGTACTAATTTTAGTTTATACAATAATGAAGACCGAAGGGTAAGATTATGAACTAGTGAAAAAGAAGCAAACATCTTTTGCTACTGACAAACGTACTTTAATATCAATTATCAGGGTGTTCCATTGAAGTTATCAAAGTTATAGCCGTTTGGGTATATCAAAATGTAATAGCAAAAATGAAACACCTAGTATTAAATGTTTTAATTTGTTGTTATACCATGATTTAGCGTTACCTATGCCCTTTACAGGTACCAAAAATCCACTTAATATCACAATCCTGGAAAGAGTTACTAGCATCTCCGCAGATCCTTGCAGCTGTCAATTTTTTTCTTTAAAAATTAGTACGTAGAATCCGAAAATGCAATAATATATAGGGTGTTCCATTTAAAATAAGAAAATTAATGTCGGCTTCCGGTATAACCAGAAGTATCATAATTCTAAACATTTTAGCTGTTGGCCCTATTGCCTTTGCCAGCTTGCCAAATTTTCTGATTTATCGGATCAGTACTTTCGGAGATATCGATAGTGGAGATTTCTGGTGGGACACTCTGTATAGTGGTTATCTTTACGTATTGATCTTTGTTAATTTTACAATATCAAGGATATGTTTTTATACCTACAAAGTATATATCATAGCTTATATGTCATTGCTACTCAATATCTATTGACGAATGATCTTATCCATTTACGAGATGTTGTGGGTATAATTCAATGCTGATCGGGGCACTAGTTCGCAGAGAAGTTGCATTCCAAAAAATCGCTAGTTAATTAAATAAGATCTTAGAAACCTCTGTTTCAGTTCAAACCAAGAAGCACCACCAAATTTATTTATAACATGGTAGATATATTAACCACATTATAAAGAATAATAATTTAGTCCGTTATTATTTTAAAAGCTTAAGAGAAAGCCACGTCAGCTTGGTTTAATTTAAAAGTAAACTAATGGAAACTAAAAGTGTTCACTTAGATATATAATTACAGTGAACAACAATATTAGCCATATGGGAAAACTACCACCTTCCATTCGTATACCATCATGACCTATTTATTGGATTAGTTTGCTAGTTTATGTTATACCAACTAACACCATGTCTCTAGAACTCAAAGACCCAATATTTAAACTAGCAACTATTTTTGGTTTAGCTCCCTATTATGACTTCAACCAACAAAGGTTGTCCTTTACAAATCAGTTCAAGATGTACGCATTATTTTTATCAGTTCTGCTGACGACGGCAACCCTTGCATGTTTTTATCATTTCAATGAAGAGATAATTTCGGGATTTTCACTTAGGATGAGTTTGCAATATTTGCAGACAGTAATATTTTTGCTTTTATTATTGGTCACTATCTTGGGATCTTCATTTTGGAACATGAAATCATGGGAGCAGTTGTTTAATTTGTTGTCTAAACCAGAAATCCATGTCAAATGTATCAGACAACGTTTTTTGGGATTCCCCTTTTTTACACATATTTTATTAATTCTCCCTGGAATCATTTTGTTTGTCCATACTTATACTACTACAGGATTCATTGTAGCTGGATACAGTTTAATGCTTCTAACTTCTAAACAGCTGATCATAAGTTTGATGTACAATCTCATTTATTTACTACGAAATAAATATAATGCTATTAACGATACTCTTATCAGCGTTAAATCTTGCACGGTTATTAGAAATAGTACGTTTAGAGATCTGCAACAAATTAGAAAGATCTATGTAGAAGCTGTCATGTTTGTGGACACCTTCAACACAGTTTTTGGTGGGTCTTTACTGCTACTCATGGCCCAATCCGTGACTTCTCTATTATTTCTTTTGGCCTTGCTAACAGATAATGGTCAAAATATTTCTCTAGACACAGTTGTGATTGATACAAATGTGACGAAGTTGGTTGCGTTCTATACATTGATGGCAATGGTAAGAACTAGTTTTAATTTTTAAATGAAGGAGTAAAAAATAACGTCTTAAAGAAATAAAATTGTTACACAAACGGAAATTTTATTGACAAACTTGACTTACTGCATTGTAAACAGCTAATCGGTTGATTAAGTGGGACGATGCAGACTCGGCCTAAGGTTCGAGTAATATAGTCCAACCAAATTACACTTGGAGAAAAAAAAATTGTTACCTGGACATTTATAAGTGGAAATGGTAAAAGGGCTTATAATAAACCTAAAAAAAATAAATGCGTGAGTGGGGTTGGTGGAGGGTTGATTTGGGGGGTTGAAAAGTTATGAAAAATTGTATCATTGGAATTTCTGGCAAAAGTTGACGTCAAACGAAAAAGTATTATCCGATACAACTTTTGTAGAGGTCATTTTTTAACATAACCTCAATATTTCCGAGAAAAATGCGAAAAATTTAATTGTAACGAAACTTGGTGAAAGTATACCTTCCTGTGTCTCAAATAACCACAAATTTTTTTAGATAATAAAAATCAAAAAGTTTCTGATATTCATTTTTTTCGGCCTGAAACACTTTTTTTCAAAGAAAAATTCTACTTAGAAAAATCAACGTACAGAGTTCTGCCGTAATTATTATTTTCGTTTTGATATATACTTTTTGGTGAATTAAAAAAATCTGTAGTCACAGTTCAAAAACATGCTCAAAAATGCAAAAAAAAATAAAAAATTAAATGCAACAGTGAATTTTTCAGTTATTGTTGATAACTTGTTTAAACTAAAAAACATTCAAAAACTGATTACACCATTCAATTCTACGGAAAAAAATTAAAAAATAACTGTCTCATTGTTTGACCCAAAACATTATTTTTGTACAGTAGGTATTGCTATAAACATCTAAGTCGAATTACAAATGTACAAATGATAAATTATCTCTGGATGATTTGAGATTTCAACAATACAAAGTATTAACTGCAAAATCTACTGTTAACGCGAAATCCGAAAACCCGAAATTTTGCAAAATCGTTTTATTTTTTTCTGGCTTTATTTGAAAACGAATTTTAAATAAATTGCATATTTACATTGCCACTTTTTTCGCTCTATCCAATGGCGTCAACATTTTTACAATCCGACGTTTCGTCTTCGAGGGGCCATCATTAGATTCATTTTTTTTTAAATATGTTTGCTATTTTTATGACAAAATCTAGTCATTTTTAATTCTGAATTAGATGATATTACTATTGTAATCACCTAAAAAGGTTTTTAGCCATCATTTAAAATTTTTCACTATTCGACTTATGTACAATACTGTCCAAAAATAAAGTTTTGGCTCAAACAATCAGATAGTTTTTTTTTTAATTTTTCCATACAATTGAATGGTGTAATCAGTTTTAATTTTTTTAAAAATTAAACAAATTATCAACAATTACTGAAAAATTCATTGTTGCAAGTCATTTTTTATTTATTGCATTTTTTGAGCATGTTTTGAACTGTGATTACAGATTTTTTTATTTCACCAAAAATTATATGACAAAACGAAAAAATTATCACTGGCAGAACTCTGAACGATGTAGAATTTTTCTTTGAAGAAAAAGTGTTTCAGACCGAAAAAAATAAAACGGAATCTTCTTAATTTTTTTATCTAAAATAAATTGCGGCTATTTAAGACACAGAAAGGTATACTTTTACCAAGTTTCGTCAAAATTAAATTACTTTTGCGGAAATGAGAAATAAAAAACGAAAAATCAGAAAAAAACCTGTTTTCGCATTTTTCTCGGAAATTTTGAGGTTATGTTAAAACCTCTACAAAAGTTGTAGATTTTTGCCAACCCTCCACCAACCCCGCTCACGGATTTATTTTTTTTTCGTTCATTATAAGCCCCTTTACCATTTCCACTTATAAAAGTTCAGATAACAATTTTCTTCTTTTTTCCCTCTAAATGAGTTATTTCGATCGGTCTAATAATTCTTGATTAATTTTCTTGAACACATGACCACAGTTTGCTTGGGAATTAATGATTGCCTCTTATTTTTAGTTTGGACCTATATTGATAACCTTCGCTTGCGATTCGGTGGTTCGTGAAGCCAACAAGCTGCTGAAGATGTGCTACAACATGCAGGTGCATCTGCCGCTGTTAGCCAGAGAAAAAGAGGAACTGGACAGGTTAACTAACTTGATCCACAATAACGGTCCTAAATTCACAGCGGCTAACTTTTTTGAAATAAAACGTTCGACCTTACTCTCTATTATTGCCACCACGACAACCTATATGATCGTCATATTGCAGTTTAATTATTTATAGATTTATCCACTTGCTATGATACAAACCATAAATTATATTGATACACGTGTTAGAACGTCTCACGCAATATTTGTTGGTTTTCCGTCTTTGAAATTACACTCCCCCGCCACAAATAAGTTTACGTCTGAGACCGCTCCGTCCACGAATGTACACTGGACGTTTTTTCTCGATCTAGCCTAGCTCTGCCTTTGTCAGAAACACAAACTTATTCGTGTCGGTCTGTATCTACAGTTATATTGAAATCTTGCACAACTGTGGCACTGTTGACTATAATTACCAAGTATTCTGCAATTTGAGCTCTGTTTAGTCCGACCGTAACCAAGTCTCTTTTTTCTTAATAAATGTAATTTGTTACTTGCATATTTTTCCTGGTGTGTTTTTTAAAAAATTATAGAAGTTTAAAGTGATTGTAGCACTTGCAAAAATCAGTGGTACGGGAAATACCAAACTTTAATGAAAGTAATATTTAAGTAATTGAAAAGTTTATTTCGGTCAAAAGCAGAAGAATGAAACTTCACTATAAAAAATATTATTGTGTACATTTTCCCCATACTTTAATAGTACTTAAAATAAAATTACCCAATTATATTTGATTTTTTTTTACTTACCTTGTATCTCAATTTTTCCGATTTTCCTGGAATAAAAGTCACCACTGGGAAAGAAATAATAATCGATAACAGTTATAGTTTGGAAACTCTCGGTACTCCTGCTCTGATTTTATTGCAACCTTTACAAAATGCTAATTATGGAGCAAACACATTAAAAACACGATATAACAGTTCAACTAAGATATTATTTAATCAATAAAAAAGTGATTTTTTTTGTAAGCGTTCAGCTTTTAGTCGCCATTAAAGGCTGAATTTTTTGCATTTGCATTTATTTTTCAAGCAGGGGTAAATTCTATGGATACAGCACAATTGGGAGCACTTTACTAAAAGACCTAGCGGTATTATTGGGAATTTCAATAAACTTGTCTAGAAATACATTCTCCCGATACTTTATGGCACTGTTTATGATATTTGGATTTAAGGTCACACAGTTGTATACCGGTTACCTCACCAGGATCTGGCCAAGTATATCATGCCCGATTCCGAGTCATGGGTTTTGGGTGATATGACTGCAATGGAAGGTGTTCCTGTTAGTGTAATTAGAGAGACATTGTACAAATTCAACTTGGTGTTACGAGAGAGTTGCTATTGGTAAAAACAGCGCGCATTCTACATAGACAACTTGCTTACGGATTACGTGGTGGCTACAAAAGGTTATTCTTTAAACTGTCTCAAGCTTACTTCTATGGGTTCTTACTATTCCATTATAATGAGGAAAGGTGTTCCTTTCTATGAACACTTTAACAGCATTATAGACCTTACTTTTGAGGCGGGGTTCTTGTCGAAATGGTCAAACAGTATCATGGAACCTACAGTCACGTTTGTTAACTCTAACAATGCTAAGATTCGGTACAAGAACTTGCAACCCATTTTTTACTTTTTCATAGTGGGCAATCGGTTTCTTTTGTCGTTTTCCTTGCTGAACTCACTTTAAAATTTTTTAAAAATTGAATTATCCTATGCTATGCGACTATGAAAGAAAATATAATTTTAATTTAAAGTTTCGGACAAAATCTGTGTATTTTGTTGTTATAAAAAAATGCAAAAAATAAGAAAAAATTATTAAATGTCAGTGCACCCAAAACCAAACCTTGCAACACAACAGGTTCCCAGCAGAGCTACGATATACGGATACATACAATAGAAGATTCCTAGCATCTCAGATTATCACTTTAGGATTTTTAAATTGTATTTAAAATATATTTTAAGAAGTTTAATATTTTACTGTGTAATATTTTACCCATCTTCCCCTACATCGCTTATGCAGAATTTTGAAAATATATAATAGTATTTATTAAGAATGCTTTAAATAATACAACGCGGATTAAAAACTGGAATCAATTCCTTTATAAATTAAATGGCAGTATAAAAAAAATGTTGACATAAATAGAACTAAGACTAAAGTATAATGGGATACAACGTCAACTACTGATCCCACTGTCAACATTCCCATCAGAAATAGGCTAATCAATTTGAACATCATTTGATTGGTAATTTTTTGTAAGTTGTAATCATAGTTATAGTACAAAAATATTCCCTAGGTTTAGTAATTGATGTTATAATCCTAGAATACGTATCGTTTGATTTTTGAACAGCATTTCTCTAGTAGATAATTGGCAATGCTTCTTATTATCATCACCGAAAGTTCAATTAATAATAATTCCCCTTAAAGACAATTTTTCTCTTAATGAAATTGAATTAAATTATATATTGCCAGAATACGCTATTACTTGTATTCTCTTTTATATGTTTTAAGTGTCAGCAATGCTAATGGCAAATAAATGAAAATTTCCTATTAGCCATATAGAATAAAAAGCTTTTAGTGGCAAGTATATACACGTAGAAAATAAATTAACGCCAATAATGATTGATTTTAAATTGTCAATCTAAAGTACTTTATCTTTGTTTCACCATCTTTTACATATCACGCATTTAACTCGTTAGAAGCAATAACATTTGTCTAATAATTTTTTTCGTAAACCCATTTAAAAATAATTTTCTCAAAATTTTCAATTTTTGCTACCCACCATACGTCGAACCGCTGGTCTGGGAATAGATTTCAGCAAGCCAAGTATGTTTTTTTCATATACGATAAATTTGAATAAATTATTTTTAATTTTGTTTGTAATTAATTAATTAATTATTGTTAACCTATCTATGAAACATAGCAAACATTTATATTGACATCAAACAATTTGTATGGCTTCATCTGATGAGAATTTTAGACCTAATATGAATTAGCTCAGTATCTTTTAAGTTAAAAGTACAAAATCTACCGTTAAAAAAATATATAATTCAAAAATCTATAATTAATTCCTAAAAACTAACAACATTGCTCTCTTTAATTATGTTTATCGCAATAATTTTTTTCTATTTGATTTATATACTATAAATACCTTATTGTAGAAGCCACCTCAAATTGCCGATAATAGACTGGAATTGCTGGTTTATGTACAGGGTGTCCGAGGAATAAGTGCCAAAATTTTAACCAGACATTTCACTTTTGTTGTTAACTTACCTGATTCTCTCTCGATGACATTTTTCACTGAGGGCCTTTTCACACCTGCCGGAACCAGGTATTAAGGAACTAATTTTTTTCCGACAATTCGATGAGCAATACACAATTGACTACCGGTTCCAGCAAGTGTCAAAGGCACTGAAAAGGCTTTGGGCAAGATCTTTTTGCTCTGATCTCTTTATCGTATATTCTAAGCCTGAGCTTGAACTCGCAACAATTTATAACAACGTTTATATTGAATGTAAAATGCTTATTTGTTAATTAATATTCTATATTATTGGTTTGGTTACATGAGGTACACTATACACAAAACAGTATGATATATGGAATTGCTCAAAGCATACTACATAGCAGGGTTGACGTTCGATCGCACCTCTTGACGGATCCGCCAAAATTCCATTGTGGATTTTTACATTTCGTGCGCTCTTAGAACGAAGAGATTTCTGCTTTTCCTTCAGTGAACATTTATTGTTAGCTTTTAAATAGTGGAGTGAAAAGGGTCCTAAGAAACTCGAGTGTGCGATCACCGATTGAAAAACGGGATGAGCTGTGCAATGACTATTACAATTGTGCTTGTTCACACTATTCTGATATTAGTTCTAGTCCTATTTAGTTCAGTATAATCTAATAATCTTCTAGATAAGATTCAACAGACGAACCTAGAGAAAGCTACTACATCAACTACCTAATTCAAATTTTGTGTTACTTCTCGTAAGCACTAAATAGCAACTTACCTACCGGCAAAAGGATTGACTTAAATCTACATTTACATAAAATTAAACTGTAGTATAACGATTGTGTAAGTAGTAGTTGTGGCAAGTAGTGCAAGTATAGTAGGCCGTCTTATCTCGAAGAATTCAGCAGCTTTGAAAGATACACGTTTGTTTCCTATTCTTTCACGTAGCTTTTGTATTTCCTCTCTTTCCATGGAAAACGGTGGTAGATCGTCTTCTATTTTATAGCAAAGGCTTAGCAATTTGTCTGACTCCTGTGTAACGGAATCGCAGCAAGCTATCAGTATTATAGCACCCAACTAGAAAACAAATAAAGATTCCTTGTCAATAAAACACATGTTTTTAATAGAAATTTCAGTGTTTATGTTTTCCGCCAGTACACTTACCTCTTCCAAAACTGCTTTTGTAACGGACATAATAATAATATTTTCCGTTATGACATTGCCTCCTTCAGATTTAAATCTACGTTCAGTGAGCAAAGCTACACAGTACACCAGATGTACGATGGACTCGGCAAAGTAAAACAACATAGGCCACCCAAAAATATCATTGAAAGCATCCACCGCTTTATCCGTCTCTGTATAAACCGCTACAATCTTTTTTAATATATTTTCTGCATCGCTGTTGACCACGCTAAACGTTTTAATGGTTTTAACCAGTTCGTTCATGTTTCTATAACTCTTTCTGATTAGAAGCAGAGAAGAAATTATTAAATACGTAGTTAGTGACTTGCTGTAATAAAAAAGTATGTTGGTTGCGAAGAACTTTTTCAAACTGCCAAAGACGTAGGATTCGTATAGTATGGCAGTCACCAAATAAATATTTTTTATAATGAAGAAGAGAGATGGTAAACTCAGATAGGTGTGTAATCTAGATACGGCTTTAAAACTATTTAAAAAGATTATACCATGTAATCGGTTGATTAATTCCTGCCATGTCTTCCTTTTCGAAATGGATGCTCCCAAAACAAGTAATGAATATGAAATTAATTTCGTCGATTCCACGAATACATCTAGGCCTATCAAAAGAGGAAGCGGTGTATCCTGGTAACGTGAATAAGTTGACGCGTAGGTATACCATATCGTGAAAATGACAAAGAATATCGTTCGGACTGTCTTTTTTTCTTTCAATTTCTTTGTTTCTAAATCATATTTCGGGAATATGCCAAAACATTGCGATAGTTTAACTATCCGCTTGGGGAAAACACAGTAATCGTCACTGTTCTTCACCGACATGTTTTCTAACGCGAGCACCAACAATAATTGTTATTTTCTAACGGTATCTAAATTAGTAACACATTTCCAATAACATTAAAGAAAATGAATGTCCAGTAGACTAAATAATTTTACTAATATAAATTGCGTATTGTACCACTTTTTTAATTTGAGATAGTGAATAGAATAGTGAATAGTGGGAAGTTCTTTAATTCTCCTAATGGTTATTGACTGAAAATTACAAATGCTTTGTGTGGTAATTTTAATAATGTTAAGTAACGGATAAGGGCAAAAAGAACACCATGTTCAAATATTAAGGAAACAAATATTTCGTAAAATTGTTAGGCTTAACTTAAAATTAAAATTGATTATTTACAGGTATTCAACGTTTCTATAAAAAAAAAGACAAATCATTGTCACATTCCAAAGATGTAGACTTTATTTGTTTTCTGTTACAATCTAAATGCTTTTACATTGTATCCAACAAATTCATAAATAAGCTACAGTACTGAAAAAGATTATACAAAACATAACAAAATAAAATATAATAATTTTTGTAAAATAAAACAGTAAATTACAGAGGGTATTATTAAATCAACAAAGCTCGAAATAATAATCCAGGAACGTTAGACATAAAAAGACGGAATAAGCGAATTTTTTTACCCTGACATTTTTTTATAGAAATCTGAAGGTTTTGAGGTTAAAAAACATTATGTCACACATACAATTTTAATATTATTATTATTATTTTCTATAAAAAATCTCAGAGTAAAAGAATTCGCTCAATTTTCCCTTATTTTGTTGGACTATAACGTATTTGTGTTGATTTGTTATTTGGATGGTGTTTTTCTTTTAAGCACGTTTAAGTGTATTTAATCAATACTTTTAGCAAAATGTAGTGTATTCAAGTGAGGATTTACGTAATGGTGGTACTATATCAAAAGTTATAGTTTATTGTGTTTATTGTAACACGAGTAGCATTGCATAGCAGATATATGCTGTCAGTAAATACTACAGTGAAGTCAGCAGTGCTCAATATGTTTTCTATTTCGAATCTCTAATTTTAAATTAGACTTCCTAAGTCTTTCGTAAAAAAAACCGCTGTTTTGAACATTCTTCCAGTATTTTTAAAGTGACCTAAGGGCGCCGTATTCTTTAAATAATGTTTTCCACAAAGACAAACAATTTCAAACAATTAATAAATGAATAATCTAAAGCTTATCAAATAATAGGAATGTTATGTCATGCCATTTGAGTATTTTCAAAGACGCCGCAGTAAAACGAATAAACAGGTGCAAAAAACGATCAAACCATCAAGGTTTTAGGTACCGAATCTACGAAAATACTAACTTTTTTATATATAACTCCACATGTAAATATTCTTATAACATTTACTTGCTTAGTCCTACATATAAAATTGTTTACTTTTATTTATAAGTACGTGAAAATAATTCTTAAAATGTGGGGTTAGGATAACAGCAAACGCATGTTTTGCAAACGCTTTTTTTAGTTATTATTTTATTTGAGTAAATTTAAATAGTAACAATGAATAAACAGAACATCAAGGATTTTATTTTTGTGCTTACTTTTGTTCTACACGTTTTACTTTTCAAGATTTCAGTACCTAAAAACGCCAGAAAATTGACTATTTCTCGGCCAGGGATATGGCCACCTTAATATATTTAATATCATAGAAAAAATTACATAGTAATACCGCAAAAAAGAAATCTAATATATTAACAACAACGAATAATAAAGCATGCATGATATTCAAGGTAAATAGAAAATATTTGTAATCTACTACGTTTAGAGTAAATATTAATTTCAAATTTTCGTGTCTATTAAGATGTTGATGTGACATTTTGCAGGTAAGTAAACTTTCATATTGACCAAAATGGTGCACACACGATTACATACAGAACTTGCCACATAAAATTCTATTATCTATTTCTACATCTTTTCAAAGCCTTCTAAACTGACTATTTAATTTGAAAAATATTTGATGCAGTCATTGAAAATCTATTCTTCTACTTAAGTTTTTTCTTTACTTGCAAAAAAGTTTCAATATTTTTATGTAAGTCGATATTTTTTCGTTACTGTATCGAGTGTTTAAAATTGGTTATGGCAATAATAGCTTTGTTTCTAGAAACAGTTTCATTGTTGTCAACGAGGCCATTCGTTTCTTAAAACTGAGTAGTTAATTTAGACGACCTTGAAAAAATCTACAAATACGTGGATAGATTTAAATGACGTGCCCTGTATATCTCTGTAGTGAAAGTAAAAGTCAAACAGTATATAACATGCACAAAATAAGTTAAGAAGTATCTAGGAACTAGTAAACTGTAACATAATTATGATGTATGTGGCAAGGGTAGCAAACATTGCGAGAATAGTAGATCGCCTTATCTCGAAGAAACCAGCAGCGTTGAAGCAAACTTTGTTGTATTCTATTATACCGCATAATCTCTGTAATTCTTCTTTTTCTACGGAACAGTGCGGTAGATCATCCTGTACTTTGTAGCATTTTGTCAATAATATATTTGACTCTCGCATAGCCATATCACAAGTGAATATTAATATTACAATGCCACACTAAAAATAAGCAGAGGTTTAATACTGGCACTCCAATACATATGCAGTGTGATCAGTGGCGGCTCGTTGTATGAAGCAAATGAGGCCAGGCTTCACTGTAAAATTTTGATCTCACTTGTTAATTATTATTAAGTAAATATATCACTTTGATTTTTTTTCTGTTACTTAATTTTATTGTAAATACAATTTTTAAATTAAAATTTGATATTTTTATTAATAATATAATTTTTTAATTTACGGTTATAGTAAGGCTATTGCCGAAGATCTCCATATAGCTCATTTGAAATAGACATTTCAAATAACGAAAATTCCGACAGAGCTAAATTTTGGTGGAGACCTTGTGTACACCATTAGAAATAAAGTGTCAAAAGTCCCCATCATTCATAAAAAATTATAGATCTTAAAATTATCTACAAAAATGGTCCTCATACTTTTTTTGAACCACCATTCCTGAGATATTGCGATTCTAATAGTTGAAGGAGTCACATTCTATATAATATGCACACATTTCCACACCACCTGTGAGGTAGTGTACTTTGACGCGTTTTTTTTAACGTGGTTTCCCCGGTAGGCCTACTCCACGAACTGTTATGGCGGAATTTTCAGGGACAATACTCTTTTAACTGCATGATGATTATTGATATTAATATTGGTTATTGACTTTAACTGTAGTTCTGATTTCTTTTGATATTTTAATCTGATTCATACTCTTCAAAGTCGACTTCAACAATCATGTCTTCTTCGATTTCTTCTTCTTCCTCTTCTTCTTGCTGGATGTTCGTAAATTGTTCAAATGAAGATGAATCAGCTGTCGCTTCATCGAAATTACATGGATCTTCGTCTGTTGTATTCAATTGGACATTTGAGCAAGACTGGCTTTGGCAATTAGTACACGCTGGAGAACACAGTAACCCTACTCTTCTACAGCCACATTTAGCACTACAACCTTTTTTGCAATTGCAAAAAATAGTGTTTAGGAGTTTTTCCAGAACAGATGGAAGTAAAGTTTGAATCGGTTCCAAAGTATTATCTATTAATTTCCTACCCCAGTCTTCTGGGTTTAGTTGATTGCCTAGCCATGTCTGAACTTGATAGTATACTCGATACAAGTGTTGATTAGCAGAAGCCGATGTTGGAGGAAGACAAGATAGTTGTACGTGTTTCTTGTTTCGTGTATTTTTTACAGAAGTTAAATATCTATATTTATCTATACAATCAATTTTTTTTGGAGCTCCTTAACAGCAAGGAGAAAGCGAATTCCTTTTGTGATTATTGTTTGAGGTGAAGAATCTATTTCTGCAATCAATCAAATCTTTTTTCCAAATAATTTTAATACTGATGTTTTACCCCTTCTGAACATCGCTGATGTAGTATCGCAGCCGGTTATCGCATGTAAAAATAAGATATGGTTTTGGCATTTTGGATAAGCAGATAAACTTTTTGAAGAATATATTTCTGTTCGCTGTTGAGCCTTTCCAGGTTTTAAAAAGTATATAATTTTATCAATTGGAGTCCTTGAAGTGAGTAGTATTAATAAGTCAACATCTTCACCAACTACAAAAGGTGTATTTGTTGCATTAAACTGTTCTATTGCTGTTTCAATTATAAGGACATCTGCGTCATTTTGACTAAGGGACTGAGTTTCTTTTGAGTGTATATTCTCAGAATAGTATAGTTTATACATATAAGAGACACAAATAGGCATTTTTACTTGCATTAAGTGCCTGACTATGTATATACGTTGCGTATATGTGCATATCATGTAGAACGTGACTCCTTCAACTTTTAGAATCGCGATATCTCAGGAATGGTGGTTCTTAGAAAAAAAGTATAAGCACCAATTTTGTGGATAATTTTCAGAT